CCCAATCTCCTTTTCCCTTTTCTCGTTTCCCATATCCCAGTTCTCATTGCCCTCGAGGACGACCATTACATTGGCATACTCGCTCGAGGACTCGTTACCAGCTTCATCTTCGTCATCCCCTCTTCACGTTTAATAGACACACTAGTGCAATCGACTGCTCGCTCTCGAAATTGAATGCTAACTCAAAATCTTAAGAGCCTCGGACTTGATATAGCCCTTCGGATTACGGAAGATTATTAAATAAAATTCACGTACCTTCGGCCCACCCCTTGCTCCTAAGCCCTTACTCCCCGCCCAAACGAATATCCGTCGAATTACCATCTTAGCGCAAATTTGATATCTGACACACTTTACGAATCGCTTAATACGTAATACGTACATTTATTATTTTTATTTCGAATTATTGATATGAGGATAAGCAAGTCGTTAGCAAAGGCTTAAAGTACATCGTCACTTCTAATCCCATTTAATGTTTGAGTAAAGATTTGAAATATTTTAACAAGGACCGAAACCAGAGCTTTTTGCCAGAAGTGAGATAAATCTCTCTTAAAAATTCAATTCCGAGTTTGCAGTTTTATTATTATTATTATTATCATCGTCGTCGTCATCATCATCATCATCATCATCATCATCATTATAATTATTATTATTAATGTTATTAATATTATTGTTAAAATGAATTAATCAATGATTCCATTGTATTGTTTTTTAATTACTGGTGTAAGTTAGAAGCAATTATTTTCAAGTCAATATTTTGATATCCGTAAATTAAAAATCAATAAATACATTTGTATTAGAGATCTATTAGAGGACCATGAATAAAAAAAAAAAAAAGCGATTGTTCAAAACGTTAAAATATTAATAGATATATGGATTTTTAAAAGCATAAGTAACCTAGTGAGTTTTAATTGAACGTATAATTGAAAAATATAATTTAAATCGTATAGGCGTACAATGTAGTTACTAAGCACTAATAGAAAAATAAATAGGACTATGGTAAGAACAGTTCCTTTTCCCATCTGACGTTTAATTTATAAAATTCGGAAAGTCAATTTAAATTTAATGAAGATAATAGTAAGAAAAATAAGTTGACTCGCATGTATATATATATAGTATTTGTGTAAGTAAAAGTTACCTCGTAAATCATTTCTTGACATCAATCACTGTAATGAATTTGAAAAATAATTTCATTACCAATGGCTGGAAAAACCGGATAATTTGTAAATTCTAAAAAAATTAGAAAAATTAAGCTCAAGCGGGTAAATAAAAATTCTTCAAATAACAATAAAAAGTTTCAAATAACACGTGATCAAAATCGTAAAGGTCAACGTTTCAAATATTCCGTTATAATCGTAAACACGTATGCATTAATAAAATTACTCTTTCTGATAAATTGCAATTTTTTTTATTTAATACAAATTATAAAGGACATCACATTTTAGTCTTTTCGTTAGTCTGACGTCACGAAAATCTATCACAAATATGTTTAAATACGCGTAATACTTTTGCGGAGTCGTGGGCTTCTGCTTCATGCTTCATGCCTATAGAAAGAAGGTCTATTCACGTATTCTTCCATATGCAATTTTTTTTCTCCACATAATTTCATAAAAATAGAAAGCCTATAAAAGATGAACGGAGCGCGTTAAATGTAGTCTTGGAATTTTTTAATAAATAACATTTGATGATTTTGACGTGCGATGAAAAATCGAATGCCTCCGAAATTTGTGTATTCTAATACATCATAATGAATTGGATTTGAGCTCGATTATAAAGACGCCTGTCGCCCCAGCGTCTCTCGGCTTAATTACTACTTTCATCAATAAAGCTTTTATCAATTCCTCTCGACTATCTCAATATTATTCCGCGGATTATACAAATTATACGAATTTTTATTGTCGCGCAGTCGTAGTCGGACGACTCGCTCAGCATTCGTAATAAATGTCCGCTCATCCGTAATTCCCATAATATAAGGATGAAGGAGCGCGATCCCGACTCAAGGAAATCTGAAATTCGATATTAATAATGACAAAATCATAAATTTCAATGGCGAATTATGGCTGGAAAATATTGCTCCGACAGCCAGCGGAACTTATTATTTCACTCCTTTTTTTATTCCAAGAAAGCCACTGCGATTTTATTATTTGCCCCACGCCTTACCTCCGTACCTCTTTAAATATTCTATTCTACATCATTGCGCATACTCGCCTAAAAAGCGCCTCTCCGTGCCTTTACAATAGGGGCGAGGAGGGGCGGGGGAGAGAAAGAAAAACAAATAAATAAAACTAAATAATAATAATAATAAAAAAAGAAAAGAAAAAAAAGAAAGAAATACCAGTCCTAGAGCGAATGGGTCTTAGGAAATACAGGCTTGATGCATTGCGTACCCGATATTAGCAAAAAATCACTAGCCAATGGGGCGATTATTTCTTCCACCTTGCGACTACTTACACGACTATTACTCGCGCGAACGATTAACCACTGGTTAATGCATCATGGCAATACCTCCTTTATCAATGCCAACAATGGTTTGGCATAACGAGGCCAGCCGGAATAGCGCCAGCTCGGCTCGTCGTCAGGATGACCTCGTAGCTGGGCTCCCGTCGAAGAGGTCCGAGTCGCAGGGGCTGCGTCGTCGTCGGCGCTTCCTCCGCCACCAGCGGCTGGTCGTGGGGACGTTGCGCCGAGACTCCTTCCGCTCCGTCCACTTGGCCCCGTTGGCCAGCTTCGTCGGCGGTGGCGGGCCGATCACGAGACGATCATCTCCCCCTCCGCTCGTTCCTCGATCACCTCTCGATCTAAAAGGGCACGAGTCAAAGGTTTTCATTAGACGGCTTTCTCCTGGCGTTCGTTCCTATTTAAAGGATTGAAGGGCGATGGTGGTGATTGTGGTGATTGTGGTGATTGTGGTGATTGTGGTTGGGGGGGGGGGGGGG